CAATAGGGGGCAGAGACCGAACTTAACTCCTAATACAACAAGGACAAGTTGTATCTATAGCCATTTATAGCCAATGAACAGAGAAAGGGGGTCAGTGGATGGAAAATTACTGAGAGGGCTTGATTAGACATCAGGGTAGAAGGATTCTTGCTGAAGCCAAGCCTATGACTTAGAAATCAAGAGTGAGAAGATGGCTGGGTGCAGTTGCTCATGCCTGTAATCCCAGGACTTTGGGAAGCTTAAATGGGAGGATTACTTAAGACCAGGAGTTCAAGACCTGCCTGGGCAAAATAGAGAGACCCCCATCTCTACAAAAAATTCAAAAAATTAACTGAGTGGTGCATGCCTATTGTCCCAGCTACTCAGAAGGATGAGGCAGGAGGATAATGTGAGTCTAGGAGTTCGAGGCAGCAGTGAGCTATAATTGCACCACTGCACTCCAGCATGGGTGACAAAGCAAGACCCTGTCTAAAAAAAAAAAAAGAGTGGGATGAGAAATTTGGCTAGATATTAAGGATGATCAGATGTATAGGGTGGGGATATTTTCACCAAACTGATTTACTAGGATTCTTTGCTAAAAGTAGGCAGAGGACAAGGTCTGGTCAAAAAGAGGGCTTAGAGGAGCCTCGCTAAATTTTGGTCAGGGAGGGAGCCTTTGTCAGGCCTAGTCTGCTGAGGCATAGTTTGCTCATTATGTCTGGCATTTGCCATACTATTGTAATCTCCACTTGCCTGCCTCACTCATAGGCAGGCATACCTGGTGGGAAACTAAAGCTGATGCCAATGTTTGCCCAATGGAGCTGCCCATTAGAACTACCTGGGAAACAGCTTGAGAAATACCTAGACTTGGGCCCATTGCCATATCTACTAAATCCAAATTAACGAGAAAGGGATGAAGCACCTATATTTTGAACAAGCTTTCTTGGTGATTCTCATTAATAGCCAGATTTGGGACCCATAGGTTTACATTATGGATTGGCCGTGAGGGCAATAGTGAGGGAATAGAGGATAGGGTAGGGAGAAATAGAGAAGTCTGGTTGGGACCTTGTGTTTACCTTGCTTCCTTTCTTCAAAGACATGAGTCTCTCTCCCTGTTGGATGTAGGTGCCAGGACTTGTCTACTCATTAAAATGACAAAATAAGTGAATCAATATTCTGTACAAGGTCTGTAATATCTGCCACCTTTCTTCTCAGGCCTTTTAAAAAACCCCTTTAGGGCCTCTGTTGCCCCCCAGACATCTGGTACCCTCACTTTCTCTTTACTCTCTTCTGAATTAAAATCTTTCTTGAAAGAGGCTGGTTGAGAATTGCTCACTATGGCTGGGCTCGGTGGCTCAGCCTGTAATCCCAGCACTTTGGGAGGTCGAGGCAAATGATTGTCTGAGCCTGCGGGTTCAAGACCAGCCTGGGCAACTCGGTGAGACCTCGTCTTTACAATAAACCATGAAAATTAGCCGGGCATGGTAGTATGTGCCTGTAGTTCCAGCTACTTGGGAGGCTAAGGTGGAAGGATCACTGAAGCCCAGCAGGTGGCCGTGAGTGTGCCACTGCACTCTAGCCTGGGTCAGAGTGAGACTCTGACTCAAAAAAAAAGAATTGCTCACTAAGCTTTACATTGTTAATAAGAAAGACCTGTTGATGAAAGATGCCAAACTCTGTATTTAAATAGGTGTATTCTGAAACAAATGTGGGTGACCTAGGCCTGTGCCACTGTCCAAAGAGGTTTGGTATTTTTAAAAGGGACAAACTCAGAAGTTAAAGGACTAGATGCCCCAACATAGGAAATTCAGACATTTGTCAGCAGCAAGGTTTTGAGCATGTGTCTGTCTAGAGGCTGGGGCAGGGAAGAGCTCTTTTTTATTCCACAAATGACACAGACATAGCTGCTTTCTCTGCCTGTACTTAAAGTCGGCTCAGCTACCTTGGTTATGCCCCAGATTCCTGGGACTTTCTGAGAGATATTAGGCAGAGTTCTATCATTTTCCTAAAAGTACAGAAAAATGAAAGGTTTAAAGCAAAACCCTGACTCCTAGGTAAGATGCAACTCTTACTGAAATAGCACTAGGTCAGCAAAACTTAGTATCATTGGCTCATTATCAGGTGAGGTCAGGACATTATTTCTGGCAGCTTCTGAAAGCCACAGCCTGTTAGAAAAAAAAAAATCTTCCTAAGGGTTTAATACAGCTTGCTTTCACTTGTTCTCATGAGCGCTCTCGCTGGATAGCTCTCTTTTCTCTCTTTTCTTAGGCCTCCTTTTAAAATGCTAATTAAATTTGCTTGATCTCCGCTCCCCCCTTCCCTAGCTAATTTTGGAGATCAAGAAAGGGAGCTTGATATCTATAAAAGATGTGCTTGTCTTTTCCACCTGAGCTACCTTTGTATTTCATTCCCTTTTATTACAGGAAATTGTGTCGGGGCCCTAAACACTAACATACATAACATTGATTGTATTTTGCATAACAAATTGGATTAGGATAATTACCACACAGATGTTAAAAAACCCTGAATGCAAATCGATGCAATTAGTCATGACTTAATATACTATAATTCACACATTGGAATGTCTTATTGTGATTATACTATTTTAGAACTAAATGCTTTAACCAAAAAAAAAAAAAAAAGAGAAAAGAAAAGAAAGAAAAGAATTCTTTTGCTCTGGTGCTGCACGTGCTCTGAACAAGAAATCGTTTTATGCTAATCTGGGATTTCACTACTCAGAATTCTTATTAACTAATCAGATCCTTCAATTTCTCTTGCCCCCTTTTATAAAGAAAGCCACTTCTTTAGCAAGACAATTTCATGCGCAATTCAACTTGAATGCTACCATTATGAACAAAGGAATTTGCACAAGGATGCTTTTGACAAACATGGCTTTAGAAAACTGAGCCTAGGCTGGTGGGGGCAGCCCCTCTCCCACTGATGGCCAGGACCCTGAAACAAAGCAGAGAGAGTGTAAGCAATTGGAATAAGTCCAAGTTAGCCAGTAAAGAGGGGACCTGTCACAAGGGCAGTAGGCTCAGAGCCATCACAAAGGGTTTCACAGCTTGTGCCCAGCTGAAGGGGCGAGTGGGGGCTGAACTCCAGCCCTATATTCATGCTCCAAGCTGTACACTGGGAGCAGCGCTGTATCTGACCCAAGGAAAGGGCGCCTTTTCCTAATTCACACAAAAGTGCCCGTGGATACAAGACAGGGGTTTGATTACAGAGAAAAAAATAATACAAGTAGCATTTCTAGAAATGCCAGCAGCTGGAACCCCTTGAACCTACACTGTGAACGCAAATTCAATTCCTAATCTTTTATTTATCCTACCTCCCGGTGCTCTGTGCTTGCTTAGAATTGCTTAGAGTTCAAGGTTCTTCTAGAGTCTATGATCTACATTATCGCTCTTTGAAATTGTTCTTGTAGGGTATTGTCTGAACATAAACTGTCTCCCCCTATACTTCTTTCTGCCCCCTCCCTCAGGGGGTAGCCTCTGGCCAAGGCTGGTCTCTGAAGGGTATGAATATTCCCAGTAATGAGTCATGGGATGCAGGTGACCAACTAAAACTGAAAACAATTGTCACTCTTAATCAATGTAATTGTATACACTGTATCTGAGGGGGACCCAAAAAACAAAACAAAACCAAAACAAAACCCGGAATTATCTTTTGAAGGGTGGGTCCCTTATAGTATGCTCAGAATTTGTTCCTCCAGATCAAATGGTCAACCAAAGTTTTTATCTGGAAGTTTTGAGAAGGTTGCATTGCATCACAATTTGTGGAAGAAACATCCTGAGTTGTGGCAAACAGGTTCTTCCACTATGACAATGCACCTGCCCACAAGTTTTAACCAAAAATAGCATGACTCCCATGCCCCACTCTCCCTATTCATTCGATCTCACTGAGTGACTTCTTTTGTTGTTGTTTCCCTGAATGAAAGCAGTCCTCAAAGAAAAACTTTGCTGATGTGGAAGAGGTGAAACGAAAAATGGCAGAAGCATTTAAAAGCATCAAAATTGACCAGTTCAAAAACTGTTTTGAGCAGTGGAAAAAGCTTCTTGCTAGGTGTTTCGCATCAAATGAAGAGTACTTTGAAGGTGACTGAAGTTTAAACATGTTAGAATAAATGCACAATTTTGTTTTGAATTGGAGTTTCACTCTGTAGCCCAGGCTAGAGTGCAGTGGCACTCTCATGGCCACCCCACCGTCGATCTGCTGGGTTCCAGCGATCCTCTGCCTCAGCCTTCCAAGTAGCTGGAACACCAGGCACACGCTACCACGCCTGGCTAATTTTTGATTTATTGTAGCGTCGAGTTCTCGCCAAGTTGCCCCGCTGGTCTCGAACCCGCAGGTTCAGGCAATCCACTCGCCTCGGCCTCCCAAAGTGCTGGGATTACAGGCTGAGCCACCGAGTCCGGCCAATATACAATTTTTAATAAATAAATTTTGGTTTTTTTGTGTCCCACCTCGTAGGAATTTAAGTGATTAGCTTGATTGGTTTGATTATAAAACTGCTTGCTATCCTGCCCCAAGACTTGGATTCTTCACTGACTTGCCACCACTGGTGCCTCCCATAAGTTTTTTTTTTTTGAGTTGGAGTCTCACTTCGTCGCTCAGGCTGGAGTGCAATGGCACACTCACAGCCACCCCAGCGTCAACCTGCTGGGCTCAGGCGATCCTTTTGCCTCAGCCTTCCAAGCAGCCGGAACTACAGGTGCTCACTACCACGCCTAGCTTATTTATTTATTATTTATTTATTTTAGAGACGAGGTCTCACCATGTTGCCCAGGCTGGTCTGGAACCTGTGGGCTCAGGCAATCCTCTTGCCTCGGCCTCCCAAAGTGCTAGCATTATAGGCTTGAGTCACCATGCCCGGCAGCCTATAGTTTTTTTTTTCCCCCTAAAAAATTTCTCTTACAAATTTTATTGGTTCTGGGGAACGGGAGGCAAGCAGGCCCCGCCTCCTCCTCCTGAGGGTCCCACAAGCCTTCTCTGTTTCCCATTGCCGTTGATTGGGCGGTTCACGTGCTTGGGGGACTCCAGGAAGGCTTTGAGCTTGACGCTCCACATAGGCCGAAAGCAGGGGGAAACGCATCCAGGCAGCCGGGGACCAGGACCTTGTGGATCAGCCCAAAGTCCAGCAGGTTGTAGTCAGCGAAGGAGATCTGGTCGCCCACGATGAAGGCCTTGCCTCCTTGGTTCTGAGATAGCAGGGTCTCAAAAGGCTTCAGGTGCCCAGGCAGTGCCTTCATGTAGCCATCCTCGCCTGCCTTGTAGTTGGTGTAAATGAGGCTGTATTTAATACCGAGGTCTTCCACGACTTCATTCGCGATGTCCACCATGGACGCCTCCTGCTGGTCCTTCCCACATAGCCCCAGGGTGCGTCCCCAGTGCCTTAGGATGGCATTGGACAGGTACAGGGTGAAGTCTCCGTTCTGGAACTTGGGGAGCTGACCGTACAGACAGGAAGCCTTGAGTGAGCCCTCCTGCCAGGTGTCCTTGGTCACCACCTCTTCCTTCCAGCTCTGGCCCTGGTCTACGAGCAGCATCTGCATGGGCTCACAGCGCCCTTGAACTGGGAAATAGATAACGGTGTAGGGCGGCATCGTGCGGCGGGGACAGCGGCGAGACCTCCAGTCTATAGTTTTAATAAACCAATGTCTTTGCCTGCTGGACCTTCAGGTGACTTCAAACATTATGCACAAGCCCTCTCAGATTTAGGGTTACTGCATTACAGTTCTGTATATAAGTTATGTCAAAGTTTTGCACACTCAACTGATTTGGGGGACCCTTGGGGGCTAGGCTTGTGCTATCATCCTACTCCCTGGAGTCCCTCTCCTACTCCCCATTGCCAGATTTAGCAAACAGAAATACAAAATACCAGTTATATTTGAACTTCGGGCTGAGTGTGGTGGCTCATGCCTGTAATCTCATAACTTTGGGAGGTGAGAGGATTGTCTGAGTCTAGAGGTTTGAGACCAGCATGGGTGACTTGGTGAGACCTTGTCTCTACAATAAATTAAAAAAAAAAAAGCTTAGTGTGGTGATGTATACTTGTGGTTCCAGTTATCTGGAAGGCTGAGGTTGAAGGATTGTCTGAGTCCAGCAGGTTGAGGTTGTGGTGGCTATGAGTGTACTACTGCACTCCAGCCTGGGTGACAGTGAGACTCTGACTCAAAAAAAAATGTTTTTTTGAACTTCAGATATGTAACAAAATTTTAAAAACATAGCTATATCCCTCGCAGTATTTCAGATATAATAATTGTCATTTATCTGAAATTCAAATTAAACTGGGTTTCTGTGTTATATCTGGCAACCTACCCCCAGTCTAGCACAAAGCACAGAGTTTGATGATTAAAATAGATCTAGGCCACTGGTTTTCACAATTGAGCATGTAATCAGAATCACCTGGAGATGATTAAGAGCCAGATTGCTAGGCCTCACCCCGAGAGTTTCTGATTCAGCAAGTCTGAGATGCTGCCTGAAAACCTCCATTTCTAACAAGTTTCCCAGGTGATGCTGCTGCTGATCTAGGGACTATACTTTGCGAACCACAGCTGCAGTGCAAAGTCAATAAATAGATCCAGTGGAAATAAGGGTCTTATTGCTAAGCTGATAATCAGCAGGCACAAAGCTTTGCAGACTTCTTGCAGCAGAGCCCTCCCTGGCAATAGTCCTTCAAGGTACGAATTTATTCAGCTCTGCTAACCTCAGGTCCCCCCCTGCACAATCTCTCTTGACTGAGTTCATTTGGCAATAAGCAAAGTTGTGGTTCACATTTGTTGCTTCCAGTTTTGTTTTCATCTGCATCAGCTTCAACAGTCCTACTCTCCTTCCTGCCTCTTTAAGTGCCTTTCTCGCCTCTAACCTAGGGATGGTTAATCTACATGTTGGGCGTACTGGTGAATAAAGACTCATTTGTTTCCTAAGCAGGGAAGTAACCTTTTGGCGGTTGCTGACAATTTTTAGTGAATTCATTGATTTCCTTTAAGGGCTTTCTTCCTTTGTTCTGGGCAAGTCACTAGAATGACTCTATTAAAACAGAGATTGAGATCCCGAATTTCTGATTGAATTTCTATTTGAGGCTCAAAGTTACTGTAACATATTGGGGTGGACTGGGATGGTCCTGGCCAATTCCAGGGGTCTGGAGAGAACAACAAAGCATCTGATATAGGAGAAAAGACCAGGTGGCTAGTCCTTATACTGGGAGTTCTGAGGAGCAAGGAGTACTAGGGGATGTTTCTGCTAATACTCTGAAACTGCCGATACTAGAATCTGCCTCAACACAACCCCTTTAGTGGGCAGGTTTAAAAGTTACAAGCAAGGATCCATGTGCATGAGGGAGTTGGAAGATGTCAGGCCTATTTTATTTGAAACACCTTTTTTTTTTTTGTGTTGGAGTCTCTGTCACCCAGGCTGGAGTGCAGAGGCATGCTCACAGCTACCACAGCCTTGACCTGCTGGGCTCAGGTGATCCTTCTGCCTTAGCTGTCCAAGTAGCTGGAACCACAGGTGTGTGTCACCATGGCCAGCTAATTTTTTTTATTATAGAGACGAGGTCTTGCCATGTTGCCCAGGCTGGTCTTGAACCTGTGAGCTCGGGCAATCCTCTTGCATCCACCTCCCAAAGTGTTGAGATTACAGGCACGAGCTACCACGCCCAACTTACTTACTTACTTTCTTCTTCTTCTTCTTATTTTATTTTTTGAGTCGGAGTCTCACATGCTCACGGCCACCACAGCCTCGACCTGCTGGGCTCAGGTGCTCCTTCTACCACAGCCTTCCAAGTAGCTGGAACTACAGGTGCATACCACCATGCTTGGCTAATTTTTTTATTCATTGTAGAGATGAGGTCTCACCAAGTTGTCCAGGCTGGTCTCAAACCCCTGGGCTCAGGCATTCCTCTCACTTCAGCCTCTCAAAATGCTGGATTGCAGACTTGAGCCACCATGCCCAGCCTCTTTTTTTTTTTTTTTTTAAGAGATGGAGTATCTTGCTACGTTGCCTAGGTTGGTCTTGAACTCCTGGTCCTAAAAGTGATCCTCCTACATCAACCTCCCGAGTAGCTGGGATTACAGACATGAATCATCACATCAGTCTATTTGTCTTGGGCAATGAGTTTCTGTGGGTGATAATCTAGCCTAGGACCCATGGTTGAGTGGTGGTCTCAGACAGTGTATCTGATACCCTGTGTTCCAAGGGACCCCAAGATAAAAGCTGAATTTTCTGTCAATATGGACACGTAAAAACTCAGAGTCATAATAATTTGAATATTAAAAAGAATGTTAACTTTGTATTCTAAGTTGGTGAAGTGAGATGTATTGGTTACATGTGACATATGTGTTGTGGCCTCCCCTCTTTGTGCTCATGGCAGACACTTATATTTGATCACAGCTTTCCTCCCACAGAACCTAGGTGTGCCCTTTGAATCCTTCTGTTATTAGTTAGAATGTTCTTGGTTGCAAGTGACAGAAAACAAACTTATAAATAAATGCTTTCCTAGCACTTACTATGTGACAGGCAGGGTTCTAAAGGCTTTATAAATGTGCAGCTTCTTTTATATTGGCCATAGAAGGTAGTTATCTTAATTTTACATATTAAATAAAAGGTTTTTTTTTTTTTTTTTTTTTTTTTGAGTCAGAGTTTCACTGTGTTACCCAGGCTGGAGTGCAGTGTCACGCTCATGGCCACTGCAGCCTCAACCTGTTTGCCTCAGGCAATCCTTCTGCCTCAGCCTTCCAAGTAGCTGGAACTATAGGCCTGTGCCTCCATGTCTGGCTAATTTCTTGATTTATTGTAGAAACAATGTCTTGCCAAGTTGCCCAGGCTGGTCTTGAACCCCTGGGGTCAGGAAATCCTCTTGCTTCTGCCTCCCAAAGTGTTGGGATTACAGGCGTAAGCCATCACACCTGACTTTTTTTTTTTTGAGTTGGGGTCTCTGTCATGCAGGCTGTAACGCAGTGGTTCACCAATGCCTTGACCTTCTGGGCTCCTGAGTAGCTGGGACTACAGGCATGCACTGCCACACACACCTGGCTTAAAAAAAATTTTTTTTTGTAAAGGTGGGGTCTCACTATCTTGACCAGGTTGGTCTCGAACTCCTGGGCTTAAATGATCCTCTTGCTTCAGCCTCCCAAAGTGCTGGAATTGCAGGCATGAGCCACCACACCCAGTCTTTTTATTATTATTATCATTATTTGAGTCAGAATCTCACTCTGTCGCCCAGACCGGAGAGCAGTGGCACGCTCTCATGGCTACCACAGTCTCAACCTGCTGGGCCCAGGCAATCCTTCTACCTCAGCCTTCCAAGTAGCTGGAACCACAGACATGCACCACCAAGCCCAATTATTTATTTATTTATTTACTGTAGAGACAAAGTTTTGCTATGTTGCTCAGGCTGATCTTGAACCCCTGAGTTCAGGCAATCCTCTTGTCTCTGCCTCCCAAAGTGCTGGGATTACAGGTGTGAGCCACCATGTCTGGCCTTTTTATTTTAAATAGTAACTTTTCAGTATATTTTTAAAGTGAACAAAAATGGTATGTTTATGATGTACAACATTTCTGAGATATGTATACATTTTGGAATGCTAAGTCAAGCTAATTAACATGTGTATTGCCTTACACATTTGTTAAATATTTGTTACAAGAACACTTGAAATCTATTCTCTTACATTTTAAACATACGATACATTGTTATTAACTATAGCCACTAAGCTGTATTATAGATCTTTTGAATTTATTCCTCCTGTCTGACTGAAATTTTGTATCCTTTGACCAATATCTCCTCATTTTCCCCTTCCCCCAGCCCTTGGAAATCGCTTCTCTATTCTCTACTTCTAAGAGTTTGACTTGTTTAAATTCCACATATAAGTGAGATCAGGTGATATTTGCCTTCGTAAAGAGAGAAATTGATCTCTTAATTTAAAACTCTCCTGGGAAGAATTTTAGCTAGTTTGGGTTGGTGTCCAGCCTTGGATGCAGTCTCCTAGGGATCAACTTTTGCTGACCCAATGTAACTTGTGAAAGAGACCTGCACATACATTACTTATGTACCTAATCCTGACTTGTATCCCACGTCTTTATGATAAAATAAAGTAAAACAACAAAAAAACCCACTCACTTATAACTCCATATTATTTTTAATAATTTTTAAAAATTTGAGCCAGAGTCTCAGTCTGTCACCCAGGCTAGATAGAGTACAGTAGTACACTCATGACCACCACAGTCTCAACTTGCTGGGCTCAGACAATCCTTCCACCTCAGCCTTCCAAGTAACTGGAACTACAGGTGGGTGCCACCACACTTGGCTAATTTTTTTGATTTGTTGTAGAGACGAGGTCTTGCCATGTTGCCCAGGCTGGTCTTGAACCCATGGGCTCAGGCAATCCTCTCACCTCGGCCTCCCAAAGCGCTGGGATTACAGGTGTGAGCCTGTACTCTATTTTAATAAATTTTCACAAGGAGTTACGTATATTTTAAATTTATTTTATTTTACTTTTTTAGCTTTTAATTTTTTTATTTAAGGAGTTATTTTTAGATTGCTGAAACCATTGTCTGAATATGCCAAATATATTTTCTTAATGAACAGCAACAAAAACAAAAACATGGACACAGGGCTGTG